GAATTACCATAAAAAGACCTCAACATGTCTCTCTGAGATACGATTTAGATTTCAGTTGTCGTTTAGAAATCAGATTTTATGATCCAAGTACTGAGTTATAATATACTAAAGTGTAAACATCTTTAAAAAATAATTGATCTCTATATTTGTGAATGAATTTAGGGATTTTAGAAGATGTGATGCTTTATCTCAATCACAGGACATCTCATTTCTTCCAGGCCAGTGTTATTGAGAATGATAGACTTTATAGCAAGACAAAGGTTAAAAGTCTTGTCTCTTATACCTGTGTGATCCTGTACATTGAGCCTCAGTTTCAGCATATATAAAATGTGGATAATACCTACCCAGCACAAGTCAGAGTTGCTAGAATCATATGAGATGATGTATGTGAAATAATAAATGCTTGTGAGCTATTATCATTTTCTTGCTTGCTTTGACTCCCTTGGTTCTGGTAATGTGAGGAAAGAAGAGTCCAAGAAAGCTCATGATAACATTTGCTTTATGACTCTCCTGGAGTCATGAAGTAGACTGGCTAATAAATATTATGTAGCAGTCGGGTTGCTTGGTGAGGTACCAAAGGAATGGGATGAGCCAGTTAAGGTCTATGGATGCAGTAAGTTATCTGTGAGAAACTCCTACCCTCATCCCCAAACCCCTGGTCACTTCAACATCATATACATCTCAAATCTGTGATCAAAATTTTAAGCCTACCCTCTTCCACACCTTACCTCTTCAATAGCCAATGCCTATTCTGTTTACAATGCCATCCACTTCTCAGTGGTGTACAGGAACTAGTTCTAAGAGCAGGTAGTTAAATTTTCAGTGTGAGCATTTATAACTTGGAAATAAGCAAACACCACAAAGTAGGGCTCAATTTATTGTTTTGTTGATTGTCTCAACTTAAGAAATGATGGAGAAAATTTTAATAAAGATTAAATTTTAAAATGTCATATATACATTTCCAGTGAGCTGGTTGTTAAACATTGATTAACTCAGCCTTCTGTAATTTGGCCTATCTTATTCAATTTTTGGACTGGACATGTGATTTTATCCAGGTATTAACATTAACAATAATTAACATTTATGTAGTGCTTACAATGTGCCAGGCACTGTGCTAAACACTACAATTATCTCTTTTGATCCTCACAACAACTCTAGGGGGGAGATGCTATTATCCCAATTTTGTAGATGAAGAAACTGAGGCAAATAGAAGTTAAGTAACTTGCCCAGGGTCATATAGCTAGTTAAATGTCTGGGGTTTAATTTGAACTCAGGTCTTCCCAATTTCAGACCTAGCCCTCTATCCACTCGTAGGGGGCTCCTGATGGGGAACTTTCTCTACCAATGCAGATCAGAGCCTTCTCTGCAATTTATTGTCTTAGAGGTTAAGTGACTTCTCCATCTTATTTCTTCTAGCCTTACATCATATTATAAGGATTTACAAATATTACTTTACAAAAGAGAATACTGTTTCAGGTCCTATTGTAAAGAGGCACCAAAAAGGATTAATTTCACTTCAAACTATTTTTTAAAACATTAATATCCATATATTCTTTATAGCATCACACTATAGAAATAGTTCTAATTTCAGAATATGCCTTGCTATTGTTGCACTTTTTTTATTATAGGAAATTTTCATTAAAAAAATGTTTCAGAAAAAAAGAAAAACAAAATTCTACATATTCCCATCCAAAGAGTCTAGGATTATGGATTTAGAACTGGAAAAGGCCCCAGAGGCTGTCTAGTTTGCAACCCCCTTACTTTACAGAAAACGAAAATTAAGGCCAGAGAGTTGGAGCAACTTACCTAAAGTAACAGAGGTAGTTAGTGGAAGAATGAAGGATTCATACCTAGGTTTTCTGATCACTAATCCAGGGCTCTTTCTAGGTTCCAGCCAACGCAGACTACCCCATTCTTTGACTCTATCTATGCCCATTCTTGAAATGTCCAATCTGCTGCTGAAATCCTTAAATGGCTGGTAAAAATGGGATCTCCATTGTCTTCCCTGTGTCTGTTAATGGCAATAATCTTTCCCTTTTCAGATCATACATAGCATTTTATGTGCAGCTTTAGAATGAATTCATGAATTACATCATATTCTCTATTACAATTAATATATGTGCTATGTTTCCCCATTAGATTGGAAGGGAACAAGTCTAACATGATCTACTTATTTGCCTATGCCTAGCACACAGTGTGGTGTATGTAGTAGATGATTAATAAATGCTCAACAGTACACTTCAAAGGTGCATCTTAGACCTGGCTGCATGAACCACAGACAACAGAAGAAATGAAGGCAGAGTATGCAGGAAAGAAGAGAACATGCAATAGACAATATTTCCTTATCTGTGTACATCTGCATACCCTCCAGCTGAATGAAAGGTCCCTGAGGGCAGGAATTGTTTCATTTGTCCTTCTATCTCCAGCACTAACCAGTGGAAGCATGGTGCAGAAAGCAGAAAACCTGGCTTGGAATCAGAAAGATCAGGGTTCAAGACTAGCCTCTGACCCATACTGTGTATCCTGCGCAATTTTCTGACATTATCAATTGCAGAGAAGATAATGACCTGTATTTTTAGAGGGATTTTCTTCACAAGGAGCTCCTTTTACCAATGAAATCTAGATCTGTTATGCTCCCTATCTACCTCCTGCCCTCGTCCCCCGCCCCCCCCCCCCCAAGCTTTACACAAATCCTTCTTCATTGCTTTACACTTAGGTGCTAATGTTTGATGAACAGGGCAGCTAGGTGGTACAGTAGATAAGAATGCCAGGCCTGGAATCAGGAAGACTCGTCTTCCAGAGTTCAAATCTGGCCTCAGATGCTCACTGTGTAAACCTGGGCCAAGTCCTTTAACCATTTGCCTCAGTTTCCTCATCTGTAAAATGAGCTGGAGAAGGAAATGGCAAATCACTCCATTATCTTTGCCGAGAAAACCTCAAATGGGGTCTCGAATTACATTAGATGTGCTAATAAGAACAGGTGAGTATACTTGAGCATCCCACTTTTCTCTCCTTCCTCCTCTTTGATGATAGCTGTGATCTTTGAGTCAGAGAGAGGCTATGACTTTTAGTGAACTCAAAGTGGTAAACAGAAGGTGATAGGATTGCAAATTTTAGGTCAGTTGTAAATTTTTGTGAAGCAGAAGCTGATGAAAAGCAGCCTTTGGTACATCAGAAGAGTGTTCTCCCAATATCTAAGAGGCCTGGACTTTTGGTGGGAGGTATGAGTCATAGAGTTGGGATTTTATTTCTGGAAGAGGCTGACTTATTGGCTGGGTATAAGGATGACCTCCCCAGGCGTGGACATTTTTAGCTGCCCCAGGGTACCACACATGGGTAATTTTCTGGGGCTGATCTGGAGACTGCAATAGCCTTGGAACCAAAGCTCTTGCACCAAATATGAGAAATGATTCGTCAAGTAGCCAAAAAAAAGAATATAATCTCTTTACTTCTTTATGTGCATGATTGATTAGTACTGCCCTAGTACTAAACTTCTCCAGGTAAAGAGATTTGAGATAGGGAGATGTTAGCTAAAAAAACAAGCCTAAGTTAATCAATGTTTATTTTTATCATGGTGTACTAAAAACTTCTTTCAAGAAGTGTTTTCATGATTTATTAGTGATCTGTCAAGATACAGTTTTTAAAGGACACCCGAGTTTATAATACTAATTCAGCAGGAGAATCCGGAAGTAGGCTTTTTAAGAATTTTGGTAGAGAATTCAGATAATTTAGGAAGAATGCAAAAAGTAATTCATTCAAAATTCAATGGTATTTTTCCTCCTCTACTCTTGGTGATTGATTTGAAAAATCACTTCAGCATCAGAAATTAATGTGATTAATCATGTATACAAATACATATGTTACAGAAATACATTTAATAAAAACAAACATTTAAGTAATAGCTTAGGTGCAGCTCTTAACATCTCCAAAATTCATTTGCACTACGGACACATAGTTACTGTAGAATAATTTTGGGGGGAATATTAAATATAGAGTAAAATAATTTTCAATTTAATTTCAATTATAAACTAATCTTTTAAAAAGAAAACATTTTCTAAAGAATATAACCATGTAGAATCTTTGCAAACTAAGCAACAAATTTTCTCTGGAGTATTGTGGCAGTGAAGTGATCAGTATCCTAGCAACTTCTAAAAAAAAAAAAAGCTATCCAAAAGTGCCTGAGGGAAGGCTGTAGGGGCCTGTACAAGAGAATGCACAGTAGTATGAAGGGAAGGAAGAGAAAGGAGGGTGTTTTTGTTTATAAAAGAATTTGATGAGTGTGAAGAAGTTTCCACAAGAGCAGGATTTATCACCTATTAGTTTTTAACTAGAATCATCAATGTATAAAAAACTAGAAGATGCCAACTACAGCTTCTGTTGTGACTGATTTTTTTTTAAACTTAAATTATCACTTATAATAGTAATTATTACATTCTATTTCCTACTTACCCTACTTAGAAATTTTAAGTTAGTTTTTGTCCAATTCAGCTTCTGCCTATTTAATTATGGGAAAAAGGAAAATAAAATTTAAGAATACTGTTTGAATGCTTTTTTTATAGTAGAAGAAGGGTACGTGGGATGCAAAAACTATTTCAAAGGCTACTGTGGATGATGGCAAGTATATAAAATGCAACATTTTTACAGCTGGTTCCAGACCTAATACAGCATCAGCATTAGTAAACATTACTATAGATGGGAAAAAAAAAATAACAACCCACTAATATTTATAAGTTCTGGATGAAAGCTTTCAATAGAAGAGGGGGAAAAATCAATAGAAATACTGCTGATGATAAACTTTTTTTTTTGCAAATATTGTTAAGTTCAAACAGATGTTATTATTAAAAAAACTCCCAAAACAAGTTTTTAACACCAGAAAGAACAGAACTTTAGCTGCCTAAACATTTTATTAAGATTTAAATACCCAAAAGCTGCTTTTTAATAAGAATAATGTAGTTATGTCTATTAAAGTCCTCAATTGGGCAAAAATATAGCTTAAGCCATTCATTTCAACAGAATGTTTTAATTCAGTAGATCAATCTTCTTTAAGAAGTAACCATCAAGCAATAAAAAAATTATAGCATTTTTAAAATGTTCTCTGCAAAAATAAAAACACTTCCAATGTGCTTGAATTGGTCTGTTGTTACACAAAGAGCACAAAATTGCAAATAACAAAGAAGTATATTAACTGATTCAAAAGAATCCATAGACAATATAAAATATATTTTAATGCGCATCAAAGGACACAATACATTTTATGTTTTCTCCTGTATTTTCCTTAGAAGATGCTCCATTTGTAAGTTCAGATCTGGTTGGCCTTTTCTAGTCCTTTTGCTCAGCACTTTATATGCTTCCATTTTCTTTTTTTTGTAGCGCTGCTGCGCTGCTTCTCTTTCTTGCTTTCTCTTCTCAAACTCCTGAAATTAACAAATGTCTTAATTATTAATAGCATGTATGTGAAGAGTTTGGAATGTTTTAAGAACTACCATAAAAAGACCTTAACATTTCTCTCTGAGGATATGATTTATATTTTAGTTGTCTTTTAGAAATCAGATTTCATGATTGAAATACTGAGTAATAATACAGTAAAATGACGTGGTTTGTCCTTCGTTCTCAAAGAGGACCATGACGTCAGGGAGATGATGACATGACTTGTAATTGACTTTGATTTGAGTGAGGGAGGGCTGTCTGTGCAAGGTCACCAGCCTCACTTTCTCCTCCAGAGCCATTTGGATCCAGTGGCCAGATAAGGCTCAGGACAATGGGAGACCTTTTAGGCTAAGGTCTTTTCAAGTTCTCACTTTGCTAGCCCATTCACTGAATAGGCCTCTTTAAAGGATGGCCCCTTTAATTAAAAAAAAAAATCAAATTGGGAGGGGAACACCCTCAGGGTTGCTTGCCAAAAGAGAAAACAGTTACTATTCAAGAGTAGGGTCCACAAAATAACCATTAAGTGATGCTGGGGCAGGTACCTATTGTCTAGTCCTTGAGATCCAGAGTGTTTAAGGCTTGGTCTTTACAAAATCTAGCCAGTGAACCCCAACATTTTTCAAAAGTAATTGACCCCTCTATTTGTGAATGAATTTAGATATTTTAGAAGATGAGATGCTTTATCTCAATTCCAGGATATCTCATTTCTTCCAGGCCAGTGTTGTTTAGTGGAAAGAATACTGGATTTTATTATCAAAAGGCTAAGGTTAAAAGTCTCAAGTGTCTCTTGGTACCAGTGTGACCTTGTACTTTGAGCCTCAGTTTCAGCATATGTAACATGAGATAATGTATGCAAAATAATGTTTGTGAGTTATCATTATTTCTTAATTGCTATGCTCTCTATATTACAATCCTCAAAGAACAGACTGAGATTCCATTGGCAAGAACCTTAGAGCTCATTTAATCATCCTATCCAGTACACAAAATCCTCCATTTATTAGAACTGGTCTAAATAGCCCTGAATTGACCCTGGGGTCTCAAAGGCTGAGCCAAAGGAACACAAACTGCACCAAATCACACTAAGCTGGAAAAGCTTTCAGTGGCAGACTATACGTCCAGCCTAGCCTATCACTAAGTTGACTGAAATGTGATGAATTTTTTGGTTGCAGAAACACTCAAAGACTATTTATGAAGTCGCAAAGAGACTGCAACCTATGTGAAGCAGAGGGAATCTACCCACATTGAAACCCTGGACTAAGTTCTGTTACTTGAAGACTTATGAAAAGCGAGTCATAAATTTGTCTTTTAAGCATTTCTTAATGTCCATTTTATTTATTCTGATTTCCTGAATTTTAAAGATGAGGCCCTCTCCCTAGGCTGCTGGCTGCCCAAAAGCCCATCCTAGGAGCTTGACTGCTATCTTTGCTTGGATGAGATGTGGCTCATCAATTCTCTTTTCCTTTGAGTGAGTTGGTGGATAACCAGGCCTTCCCATCTACCTCTCCTCTATGCCCTTCAGGACTCTGGCACTGTCACCTGACTTAGCCCTGGAGGCCTTGCTATCCCCTAACTACCTCCTTATGACTTGGAGGCCTTTTCATTCACCCTGTAGCCGGACTTTCTGTTATGTATTATCTTCCCCAATCAGTGTGTAAGCTCCTGGATAGCACCGGCTGTCTCATCATCTTTACTAGTATCTCCAGGCTTAGCACTTAGTACATAGTAAGGGCTTTAATAAATACCTTTGATTCATAGTTGTTGATCAATACCCAATGTATCTATGAGGGTTACTTAATAACTTTCACAGTTGGACATAGATACAAATTCTTTAAATATAGCTCATGTTTATGTGTAATGTCATCCTATTAAAAAGCAAAATTATAAAAAAAAATCACATTATACTGAGATTTTAAAATAGAATGGATCATAATATTTTTTCTTGCGGCCTTAACTCTAATACAATTATCTTCTTAGGGAAAAAAAATCTATTTCTATTTTTCATTATTTCTACTTTCACAATTATCATAAATACACCAAGGTTGTATATTATGCAAAATAAAGTCTTACATGGGGTAAGACTTAATTTGTCCTAGTTTGTAGATAACACCACCAATGTACACACATGGAGAACATTTTATATCTGTGGACTGTCCACAAACGCAAAAGAAACTTAGTATGTTTGTAATCAATTTGGATTCTTCATTGAAACTTTTAATAGTCCAGCTTTTATCACTGTAATGCTAACAACTTTCACATTACCATTTTGAAACACTGAATTCCAAATAAATAGGTCAACATTTATTAATAGGAAAGCTTCTAGTTCCAGATAAGTGAAATGGAAAAGGAATATAAAATTTTTTATAGTGGAACATCAATTTAATTCATCTGGTATCCTATTTCAGAATATGGTTAATATCATATGATTAGAAAAAAGCACAATGTAACCAATTATATAAGTTGCAATAGCTCCATAGAGAAATACTGTTTCACCGCAGTCAACCATCTAAATTTTTAAATGTCTAAATTATTGTTCCTCACTGGCATGATGACAAAAAGTTTAAAAGGCTCATAGGTTACAAAATGAAATAAAACAAAATTATGGAATGCTATAAATGAGGAGATGTTAAAGAACATTTTTTCCATAACCTCATTTTAGATGAAGAAAGTGAGGCTTAGAGGAGTTAGGTTGCAGAGCAAATTATCTCTGGTAACATCATTCACTGTCAAATTTAAAACTGCCCTGACAGAGGTTCTAATACTTTTTGAGGTGGCATGATACCAGCAACTCCTGTGGTATTAATAAAATCATACTTTTGTGCTTTTAGTTTTTAATACTCTAACACTAGTTTAGTTTATGCCCCCTTCTTGCTAAGTTAGAAATAAACTCTTCTTGAAAAGCCAAAACTAAAATAAACAATTATTTTAAACATCCTCATATCCCCCATCTCATAACATTGCCTCAATGTACAGCAAAAATGACTGCAGGAAAGACTATATTTTTCTTAGCGGTCAAATTGGTTTCTCATTAGTCCTAAGAGTTAATCTTAGAGTTCTCTAAATTAATGGATCAGATTTAGAGCTCAAAGCAACTAACAAGTTATGAGGTTTTTATTCCTTTAATTTGTTACAATGCAGATAGTTGTAATGCATTGTAAACAGTTATGGAGATAAAAATAACACCTTGAATGAAAGGCCAAGTTCATAATTTAACTCTGTGAAAATATTTAGTTACACAATATGATACAGGATGTTAAGAGAAAGAAAGTACTTGTTTTATTAAAAAAGTAAGTTTTACCTGTTTCTTAGCAGCACGCTTAGCTTGTACCCGTTCATACTCTTCTTTTGCCTTTTGGTTCGATGTTTTTTTCTTATTTCTTTTTGGAGTGATAATAGGGCTGTAAAAAACAAATGTAAAAAAAAAGTTATTAAGGTCAAAAAAAATTAGGGACAGTTCTAGAAGCTTGACATCAGAAGAAAACACTACACAATAGGTAGTAAATGTGTCAAGGTGTGACATGAAGAGATATTACAGGCTAAAAATTATAAATAAGTTCAAGAAGGGTTTGCATATCATGGACCATAGATGCAAGAAGTGTTACTAAGGATGCCTTTTTAAGAATGATACAGAAAACCCAAAGAACTCGCATTTTCATGGCTGTGGAGTATCCTCCCATGATCTCCTTCACAAATGGGCTACCTGGCCGAGCAGCCCCTTCCCCCGAGCCAGGTCACCCTGATCGTCTGCCGCAGCCCACTGCCTGACAGGGGCTGCTCAGGAGCCACTACTAGGGTTTACATCATCACAAGAAGAACAAGCCAACACACCAGCAATCCTGCCCAGCAGTTCACTACTACCGAAGGTGTCTGGGTTCCACTTCCAGCAACAGCTCCTATGGAACTCCTGAGTACTGATCTCCCACCTTTCTGGTCTTCCCAAAGCAGACCCAGGCCACTGGTCAGCAAGCTGCTTCTTCGGGAAGTCGAGTCATCCATTCCTGACAATTGTATTGTAATCCCCAGAGCCCTCAGGAACTTCCCAGGCTGCTCATGGGCATGTCAGCGAGCCCAGCCACACCAGCACTTGGCCTTCTGCACGAGCAGCAGCACCCTCCACTTCTGAAGCGTGCTAGGCATCAGTGCCCATTTCCCCCTTAACCCCCTCCTCCCTCCCCTTCCTCTTCCACTTATTCCCTTAGAATAGATATAAGTGTAGAAGTAGTTGTGTTGTGTGTGTGGTTTTTTTTTTTAAAGGAAAACAAAGGCAAAGCCAAAAAATGAGTAAAAGAAACCACACTGTTACTGTTTGTTTTTTTACTATCTGAATCGACTATGCTTTCCAGCAGCCTCAGTAACTTGTTTGTACTCAACAGAAACTCATAAACTTTGAGCAGCCTTAAAAAACAAATGATACAATGGAGGACAATATTGGTGCCAGTGGCAGGAGGACCAATCAGATGTACTTTATAGAACTTAGGACATTAAAAACTCCAGTCATTTTAACCCTTCCATGACTACACCAACTCATTCCTTTCTTGGTTTCCTCTACTACTTGTAGTTTGTATAAAACCACTTAGTTCTTGTTTAGTACTCTGTAAATTACTTATGTGTGCTAGTCTTGTCTCCTTAACTGGACTCATGAGTTCCTAGAGGTCAGGATGCTGTCAGTCATCCCTTCACTAGTGCCTAGTGAAGTTCTGGGCACAAAGTAGGTAATAACTGATAACAGATGTTTTTGAAATCCACTCCTCCCCAATACTGTTGTTGTTTTTTTTTTTAACCCATTAACCTGTTCTCTCTAATTCTTTGTTTCCTTAAGTAAAGGTAAAAATCAGACCAGCCCTTTCTCCAAATGACCACGAGTTCTCAATTGATGACTTCTACTTTAACCACAGAGCAAATCTTGGTGTTCAAGACCCTCTTAAATCTGGTTCCAATCTATCTTTTCTATCTGGCAATATTCCTTCATCTCAGAGGCCATCTAGTCCAAACAGTAACCAAAAGAATTTCCCCTACATTCCCAACAAGGGGCCATTCAGTCTTTGCTTGAAGATATCTAAGGAAGGATAATCCACTACTTTCTAAAGCAGTTCATTCTATTTCTGAATAGCTCAAGGAAGTTTTTCCTTACAAAAAGCTTACATCTTCCTCTTTGCACCTTCCACCCACTACTCCTATATCTGCCTTCTAAGGCTGAACAGATCAAGTCTAATTCACTTTCCACATCCTAGCCCTTCAACTATTAGAGGAGAACTATCATTTCTCTGTTTAGTCTTCTCTTCCCCAGGATAAACAGAATTCCTCCACCTGATTCTTGGCATGAACCTGACGCCTCATCGTAATGGTTATCCTCCTCTTTACACTACTGCGTATCAGTCTTTCCTAAAATGTGCTGTTCAGAACGGAACACCATTCTCCAGATGTGGCATCTCCAAGGAAGAGAACAGCAGTGCCATCACAACATTTTTGGAAGCTACCCCTATTTTAATGAAGCCCTGAATCACATTAGTTTCTCTGGTGGCCATATCATACAACTGACTTATTTTGATCTTGCAGTCTACCAACTAGTCACTTAGGTCTACACTCCAGCCAAACACACGGCTGTTCCCTTCATCTGAAATGCTTTTCCTTTCTCCCCTCATCACCATTTATCCTACTTGCTGAAATGCTGAGCAACCTTCAGGGTCCAATTTGAATGCTACCACCTGAATGATATTACTTATTTAGCTAGCTAGAAATGACTTCTCCCATTTCTAACATCAAGTAACAAGCTTACCTCTTTTAAGGTTCTCATCACATTATACTTTATAGTCAAATCCACCTGTAGTACCTTTTAAAGAATGTTTTTCTCACTTACTTCACATTTCTCTATGCCTTAGCACTTTTCACCAGGTAGCAGTTTTACGGTCAGCGAAGAGCTATGGTCTGTCTCAATTTTTTAAAAAACGTTAGTAGTTACAGGTAGATGAGAAAAATGAAAAATCTCAAAAATGAAGTTGTGCAATTCTTTGCACTATTCTTTTCATTTGTAACATGAAATTTAGAGTCATGGAATTTTAATCTGTAAGGAACCTTAGAGATTTAGCCTTATTTTATTTATCATTTTACAGATGAAGAATCTGAGCCTCAGAACAGTTAATAAGACTTTCCCAGGTCATCAGAGTATATCATTAGTGGTTAAGACCTGAATCTAAGTATTTTTATTTCCTGTCCAATGCTCTTTCCTTTAAGCCATCTTATATTCTAACTCATTCAAATATGCTACAACTACATTTTCATTTGGTTTTAAAAACCCAGTTAGAGAAATGTAATTCCTTCATAAATTTTCACAATATTTCTCTATCAAAATAGCCAACAAAGCATGGGTTTAATTTCCAGTATTTAAACAAGAGAGAGAAAAAACATACTTCACTGTCGTGCTACATTCTTCTTCTGGCAAAGGTTGTTTTTCTTTTTTACGCTGTCTCCTGAGCATTTCTTCTTCAGCTAAATACAGATGTTTTAAATGCTCTGGATATCTTTCTGTAAACTGAGACTCTGGTGAAATTTGTGCCTTTTTTTCTTTCCTCAGCAATTTCTTGTACTCTTGCTGAATCTTTTGTTTCCTCTGAAATGCAAATCCTTGTCCTACATCAAAGAGAATAAGAGCAACAAATTAATGTAAACAAAGGGAAAAAGAGATATTAGTCATCCATGAATCTAATATTTAAATCACATTAAAAATTATCAATTAAACATAACTTTCATAACTAATCATTATCACAAAGTACAAACATTACATAGTTTCAACTTTAGATAAGGAACAACAGCAAGGATGTCATGCTCTTTAAGCAGCTGGATACTTGTTCTCTTATTTGTTACAGAAAGGAGTAATTAGGCCAGCATGACCGTGTATTCATATGCACCTAGGGAAATTAAGGAAGAAAGGAAATGAGACAATGCTTAATATTTACATTATTTTACTGTATTAGAGAATCTTTTTTGCATCCAGAGACCTTAACTGAGTCTTTGGATATTAGGATGACAGGATTTGGAACTAAGAAAATTTACAGACCAGCAACTCCCTCATTTTAAAAAAGAAACTGCGGCCCTGAAAGACTGACTTTCCCAAGCTCACCCAGGAGCTAAGATTTTGGTGGTTCTGTCTACTAGCCACACTACCTCCATCACAAGTGTTTAAAACTGAAAGGAAAAAAAATCATCCTACTGAATCTCTTCAAAAGTTTTATCAAATATTTGAAAATGGCTTCAAATTTGATGCATGACCTTATCGAGAGCTGATGACATTCCCAAAGACAATCATGTATGATAAAAAGAGCCCATATTTGTATGGTTCTTTAAAATTCATCAAGTATTTTCCTCCCAATAACTCTAGGAAGCAGGTTCTACAGATAATTCTTTCCCCATTCTACAGCTGGGGCACAGAAGCAAGCATGGGGGAGTGGGAAAATGACTGGATTTGGAGTCAGAGAACCTGGCTTTGAATCCCAACTCTTCTCCTACTCCCAATGTGACTGTGCTCAAGATATTTAACTTGTATCTAAGTTTCTTCAGGTGTATGCGTAAAATGATAGCCTTTATGGTATTTGCCACTTCGAAAAGCTTGATTCCACAGTAAAACTGTTTTTGTTTGTCAGCACCAACCTCTACTTCCACAAAACCAGGCTCAGTGCCTGGTGAGGTAAATTTCAGCCAGCAAATACCAGTGGAAAAAATTATTTCATTTCAGTGAGCTTAGGACTCCGAGGATGCATACAGATTTAAGCTAAAAACTGCTGACCTTGCCTTCTCTTTTCTCAGCTGGACTCCCATAGTGTAATTGTTTCATTTCATCCTTACAATAACACTGTAAAGTAGGTGCTATTATTATCCCCATTTTATAATTGAGGGAACTAAGGAAGGCAGAGGTTGAGTGACCTGGAGTCACATGGCTCCTAAGCATCTGAGGCAGGATTTTAACTAGATCTTCCTGAATCTAAGCCCAATGCTTTATCACTTGCACCACCTAGCTGACCCTGTAGAATCTAAAGGGTGGATTTCACAGCCTGGTTCCCCTCAGGGCAATGTACTCCTTTAGCTTTCCTGGACTAACTTCACTGGAGCTGGTATATAGCACTTTTAGATAACATTAAGGCCTTTGGATATAGTTTGGGGAAAAAAAAAAAGCTTATCCTCATGCTTCCTCTATACCAAAGATGTCAAACTCAAATAAAATGGGCCACTAAACCACACATAAGGATCCCTGCAGGCCATATATTGACGTAGAAAACCAAATATTAACATTTTCTATGCTCTACTATATTTTTACTTTTGTCAAATATTTTATAATAATACTAGCTAACATTTATATAGCACTCACTATGTTCCAGGCATTGTGCTAAGGGCTTTACAATTATTATCTCATTTGATCCTCACAACAACCCTTGGAAGTGGCTGCTATTATTATCCTCATTTTACAGATGAGGAAACTGGGGCAAAAAGAGGTTAAGTGACTTGCCTATCCTCACAAAACTCCTAAGTGCTGGAGGCTGAATTTGAACTCAGGTCTTCCTAAGCCCAATTACCACTTTAATTTGGTTTCTCTCAGGAGTGCTGTGACCCACCAGTTTGAAATGCACAACACAAGGAAGTTAATAGCTTGTTCAGGGTCACAAAGCCAGAAGGTGTCAAGAGGTAGATGGATCTTGAACTCAGGTCTTGCTGACTCTTAAGCCTGGCTTTCATTCCTCTCATTTTTTAGGTGAGTTCCCTTCCAATTCATACGATACCTGTGATGTTTGGGTGTTAGATAAGAGGAGATTTCATAATGGAAGATTATAAACATTTATCTAGCCCTACTACGTGCCTCGCACTGTACTAATCCCTTTGCAAATATTACCTCATTGGGACAGGAAGGCAAAGAAGAGCATTTTTTAAAGCACCTACTATGTACAAGATACTGCACTAAGTATTTACAGATATCCTCTTCTAGGGATGTGGACTGTTGTTTCACTGCTACAGGGAACTCCCCAAAGAGGAGACTCCCTCCACTAAAGCAGTTCAGAGCCTTCTCCGCATCTTCTTTTCTTAGTGAGAGATGCCTGAGGATACAGAGAGGTTAAGGATTAATAAGCAAAGAAGCATTTATTAAGCGCCTACTATGTCCCAGAGGCGCAGCTAGGTGACGCCATAGCGCGCGAGCATAGGGCCTGGAGTCAGAAGGACCTGAGTTCAAATCCAATCTCAGACACTTAGTAGTTGTGTGACCCTTGGCAAATCGCTTAACCCTGACTCAGTTTCCTCATCTGTAAAACGGGCTAGAGAAAGGAATGACAAATCACTCCAGTATCTTTGCCAAGAAAACCCCACATGGGGGCACGGAGAGTCGGTGACGACTGAAACGACTGGACAACGTGCACCAGGCCCTGCGTCCCACAGCCAGCGGGGGGTCAGGGGCGTTGTGAATTATCCCGTCGTGACCAGGGCCAGGGTCCGGCCCCTCAAAGGCCGCGTATGGTACTCACCTTCGTGGACGCTGCCGGAGAAAACATGCCGCGAGTTCGCCCGCCATGTCCGCTGCTGCTGCTGCCGCTTCTTGAATCCGAGGCGTCCGGCCGGCCCGCCCGGCGCCTGGGCCCCTCCGGCCCGCACCGCGTCAGCGCGCTTAGCCGGGGCCATATCCCTTCTGCTCCGGGCCCAGCGGGCGTCGCGGAGCCAAGTGCGTCATCAGGAAGAGGCGATCGATCGCGAGCCCTGTCGGAGGCTCGGCGCGCCACTCGTTAGGCCTGTGCTTCGCCCCCGCCGAGCTGAGCCCCGCGGCCGCCTGGGCGCCACCTGCAGCCCGGGAGGAAGAGTGTCATGGCGGCCGCCGGTGCGCTCTCGGAGTCCGGGGACCTGGACGTGCTGCGCGGCAAGCTGCGGGGGCTGCTGCGGTTTGTCCGCAAAGCCATCCCCATCGCCAACGCCCACACGGTGGAGTTTTACACGGGGTCCTTGTGGGAGCGTTTCGTGGAGGGGTCCCCCGACCAGGTAATGGAAGCTCTGAGATCGCGCGGACTCCTTGCAGAAGCCGCGCCTGCGCGCTGGGAGGAGCACCCCCTGGAGGAAGCTGGGGAAAATTCAGGTGAGCCGCGCTGCCTAGTGGAAGGGAAGTGTGACGTAATGGAAAGAATTCCATCTCTACTGTAGGTTGGAGGTTCGAATCCCAGTTCCCCAGTGGTTTAAGAAATTACTCTCCTAGCATGCAACTGAATTAAAAAAGAACTGACTTAATGCTCACTAGGTGTCAGGCATTTGTAACAGTGGAAAGAACATGGACTCAGGAATCAGATAACCTAGGTTTCAATCTTTCGATCCCATATCAGACAGTAGGTGTGTAACCTGGGGTAAGTTATTTAAACCTCCCCGGGCCTCGATTTCCTCATCTGTGAAATGAGGGGCTTAGACTAGATTGTCTTGAAGATGCTTCCAGCTCTAGATGTATGCAGTCTAAACAAAGAAAATAATGAAAAATAGCCCCCTATCCTCAGCAATCAGTCAGCATTTATTAAGGGCCTACTATGTGCCAGGTAGTGCTAAAAGGTGGGACACAAAGAGAGGCAAAAGAGACCCTGTGCTCAAGGAGCTTACAATCTAATGGGGGAGATGACATACAAACAAATATATGCAAAGCAAGCTATCTACAGGATAAATAGGAGATACTTAACAGAGGGAAGGCTCTGGAATTAAGACAGGTTGGGGAAGGCTTTCTGTAGAAGGTGGAATTTTAGTTGAGACTTAAAGGAACTTGCATTCTATTGAGAGGAAACATTTTACTGTGACAGCATATTAGATTTTAGAACTGGAAGAAATCTTTGGAAATCAACTGGCCCAATTCTTTCATTTTACAGATGGGGAAACTGAGGCTTATGGAAGTTAAGTGATTTATCTGATGTCACATTCTTGGTAAGAATTGAGCTTGGGTTTAAGCCCAGATCCTCTGACTTCAGATCTGGCATCCTTTCTATTACATCACATTTCCTGGAAAGATTTTTAGGAGTCATCTAGTTCCCATGGTTTCCAGCATCAGAATAGTTAACTAGGAATTACTTCATTTTTTCATTTAAATCCAGATATTTTTTGGGGGTAGGGCAGGTGTGGTACAGAGGGATTTCACAGGAAGTATAAGCTTTGCTGACTCTCTTCTCTCACTTTCCTCTGATCCATTCCCTTGTCTTCTGACCTTGTACCCAACCCCTACTGGTCTCCAATGCAGTGGATGCTTTCAGAGCGTATATACCCAGGAAGTGGACTTCATTTCCCATGTCAGTGCTCTTCTTAAAAGCCTCAGTTGCCCTACCCTAATTATGGTTCTATGCCAGATTTTTCACAATCAGGAGCTTTTTTTATGTCAACACATTTCATGGACCTCCTTGTAATAGAAATTAATATTCAGTCCATTGATTGAAAAATGTATAATGACAGAAACTTAGGAATCAAGTGACATTTAAAATAAATTTATAGTTTATTAATCACAATGGTATCTATGTATGTTTGATATATGTGTATATGTAGATATACACACACATACACACACACACGAGCATATGTGACATACTACTTGATTGGTAAATACAGAACAAAAAAACCAGTACATGGTACATATGTGGACCATTAGATTCATTATAATTAATACATTGGCCCCAGTTTGAGAACTACTTGTCTGACTCAGCAACCTCCCTGCCCCCCACATTGTTTTCAGGGTATCTTCTCAATCCATGGCAATAGGCAGGGTTAGTTGAGTCTTATATACAATTTAAATATTAATTTTCTCAAGGAAAGAGCAGAGGGATACAGGTTTAGAGCTGGAAGTTACCTTAGAGTTTATATAATCTATTTTACAAATAAAAAAACTGAGGCGCAGAGATGTTAAGTTACTTGCCCAAAATCAAACAGGTACTAAGTAGCTAAGTTGATGTTTGTATCTAAAACCTCTATTTATTTATGCATTACTCTGTTAACTACATGGTGGAGGTTCACCCATGGGGTTGTGGGGTTTGGGGGGGAAGACATGTTGCCCTGCAACTATGCCCCTGAGCCAATGCTGGCCTAATCTTACATGTCTTTATTATTATAACATTTGTTGAGTATCCACTGTGTTCAGAGCACCAACAGGGAAAACTCTGAATAAATTGTGGATAACATGGTTGCTTTGCTCAAGGGACATAGTTATGAGATGACAAACACAAAAAAACCTCAAGGTGAATGATAAAACAGTGATCTCCAGAAGTAAAGAAATCAGGCTTCTACAGTCGGTGGTGTTTCTAAGACCTTAGAAATACTGAAACAACTGACTATGACTCTAAATTTACAGCTAGAAAGGACCTTCAAGAGCATCTGGTCCAGGGTCCTTAGCCTCTTTTTGTGTCTTGGGTCCCTTGGGCAGCCTGGTGAAGCCTAAGGGCCTCTCATCACAATTGTGTTTTTAAATGCATCAAATAAAATGTACAGGATTGTAAAAGAAACCAATTATATTGAAATACAGTGATAAAAATTTTTTCAAGTTCACAAATTCCAAGTTAAGAACTCCTGATCTAGAGTAATCAGCTCACTTTATGAATGAGAAAACTAAGGTCCAGAGAAGTTAGGTGACTTACCTCTGGTCATACAGGTGACGTATCAGAGGCAAGATTGGAATTTGGGTCTTCTGACTTTAGTGTCATGGTTCTTATGGAATGTGTTCAGTTCTCCAGATTATCTGGTTCAACATAATATTCCTTGAAAGAATGGTGGTGGGGGCAATTCCAAGGGAAAACAAAGAATAAAAGATGCTAAGGAAGGTAGGGCAGCTGGGTGGTAGAGTAGATAAGAGTACCAGGCCTGAAGTCAGGAAGACTTATCTTCTTGAGTTCACATCTGACCTCAAACACTTCCTTGCTGTGTGAACCTGGACAGGTCACTTACTCCTGTTTGTCTCAGTTTCTTCATCTCTAAAATGAGCTGGAGAAGGAAATACCAAAAGCATTTCAGTATGTTTCCCAAGAAAACCCCAAATGGAGTCACGCAGTGTCAGACACAGCTGAAAAACTTCTGAACAACAACAGCAAAACCGAACCTAGAAATTCCAACCAGTGTCTAGAGTTTTAAAGGTAGAAACACGGGAAAGGAAGAAATACCACTGAATTATCTGGAATGAAATAACAGATAGACTGGAGACTCTTCCCAGGGGATAAAGCTAGACATTAACATAAGCAAAGGAGCTTCTTGTGTTCCAAGGAATAATGACGTGTTTCTAAAGGTTCCATCGGGAGAGAAGGCATCCATCATTTGCCAGAAGAAGAGCTCAATAGAATAGGCTCATGTCTCTTTGCTGAATAAAACTGTGGCCACATAGGTAACTGACATCAGGAATAGAGTAATCGGCTGTCTTCCTCGGGCTTGTGGCTGTGGTATGATTGAGAATCTCCTGGGTCAAGAGAAACCTGATAACCACTGTCCCTCTCTGGTGGTTAATGTGGCGCCAGTGGATACTGCCCAAAGGAGCCCAGAATGCATCGTAGAAACTCTGAAGCTCTGAGCAAGAAACTGAAGACGTTAAAGAAGCGAGTGGTATTATCATCACTGCTAGGGTTTTGTTTTTCATTTTTTGAAAATTATGAACTTGACAAACATCAAGAAACAGGGACATTGCCATATGCAAAAAAATAAAAGAAGAAAAAGAGATAGTATTTGAAACTGTGACTTTCTATCAAGTATAACATTTTGTTTTAAGTGTTTATTAAACTGAACATGTAGTCCCAACATTGCCCTGCTTGTCTTTGTTCTCTTCTGAACTTCCTTCTGCTTTCTTCTGTGTATTTTTAAAATATTTGATTAAGTTTTCTTTTTTTAATCACTGTCATTCTCCCCTTCCCCCTAAAACAGCCCTCTCTTGTATGTATAGTTAAGGAAAACATTCATGCATTAGTCATGTCTTAAAATGTCTTTTTCATTCTGCATCTCTAGTCCATCTCCTTGCTGGCCACGAGTAGGAAAGTATGCATTATTTTCAGTTTTCTGGAGTTACGTTTAGCCATTGCACTGATCAAAATTATTTTCCTTTCACAATATTATTAGATGTATAAATTGTTCTCCTGAATCTGTTTACTTCATTCTTCATCAGGTAATATAAATCTCCCCAGATTTCTTTGAATCCATCTCTTTCGTTTTGTCCTACAACAGAGTGATAGCCAATTATACTTATACTTTGTTCAGCTTGTTCCCCAGTTAATGGGCATCTATTTACTTTTAGTTCTTTGCTAAAAACAACCCCCCCCAAAAAGCTGTTATTAATATTTTTGTACACATGGGTCTCTTCTATCTTTAATTTCTTTGTGGCATATGCTTAGGGATGGTATTGCTGGATTAAAAGGCATTTTAGAGACCTTTTTGGTATAATTAGTGAATTAATCAAAAAGCATTTATTTTCAGCTTACTGAATGCCAAACAGTATGCCAGGCACTGAAGATACAGATACAAAAGCAAGATAGTCCAACTTTCAGTGACCTTGTAGTCTAATTGGAAGAGACAGGAAATAAGACAGTTTACTTTCAGGATGAATGAAAAATCCTGGAAATTGTAAGGATCCAGCATTGGGGCAGATGACAAGGCTCAAAACCTGTGTACATTTGGTAAATAAGATGACAGTGGGTAGGGGTCTG